TGGAGCGTTCCAGTGCAGCTACCAAGTGGAATGGAGTTAATTTATATAGAAATTCATTATCTTTAAACAACTGCTGTTTCACTTACGCGAGCGTCAATTCTTCTTTAAAAGCAAAGTTTGGAGAAGAACAAAACTCAATTTCTTTTCACACTCCTCACTTTCTTTAAAGCTGCTAACCGTTAAGCAGCCTGCGTCTATGTGTTGCGCAACGGTACTATATTCAGCTTAATCTAATTTGGTAGCTCCACCTGTCCGCTTTAAACATTCATTTTCCTTACGTCACATTATAGTAGATAAAAGTTCTAAATAATTCACTTGCACGTTTGTTGCCATAATTTGCAACCGAAATGAGCACAAAGCGAGCAAAAAAAAGCAACAACTATGACAACATAAATTACAAACGAAACATTATTTTCAATATAAACGTAACGCAGCGCCTTGCCAACGGGCAAAGTATGAGTAAATCCAGCCTGAATACAAATGCATAAGCCATTAGTCAGGACGCTTACAAGGTAAGCCAGTGCGAATTGCAGGCGGTGCGAGCATTTGGCACAGCTAACACTTGTACATTTGTTATCTTTCAAAAGCAGATTTGTCCAATGACAGCGGCAGACCAACATGACGCAGGCACTGGCGCAGCTAGGAATGGTGTTTATGGCCTGCTTTTGCATGTGTGTACGTGTGTTGGGTAAGGTGGTAAGCGACAGCGCTACCTGCGAGTGTCATTTTTATATTCTCTCATATATTTTATATTATTTTTTCTAGCATATAGACACTTATCTATGTATTTCCTTTGTAATTTGCACGACTTGAGCTTTTGTCTTTCACACGACGAACAGACCACGCGCTGCTGCGCAAGCTGACCATCTCCCCGCTTTCTTTGCTTCTTTTTTCGAAGACAACTTGCTTTCGTATGCCTTGCTTTGTCGATTTGCCCACATACAGGGGCAAATGCCTCTTTGCTTCCGATCCCGCCCAACAATTGTCGCCGCCAATCGCTGCCTGCCTGCCTATCACTTTGTATCGTTGGCGACCAACAACTATTACAACAAACAGCACTCGCTGACTTACCAACTATTCGTGTCTAAAAGCCAGCATTTTGCCTAGCCCCGCAGTGTTCGGCGTAGCGAATCCGTGGTGCTGAAATAATAAAGCGTCATATCGGATGATAAAAGTGTATTATTTATGGTCGTGAATTCGTTGTCTTTCCCCCACCGATTGCAGCTTTTTCTCCTTAACTGCTGCCTTGTGTTGTATTTATTTTCCTAAAGCACCTTGTGTCGTTGTCTCACAGCTGCCATTGTGCTGTGCTGTCCCTTTGACTATTTGATTCTCCTCTTTCGTAGAATTTTTCTGTCCGACCGGCACTTTCATGGCTATCAACAGCCGATCTTTTCATTGTTAGCATTAACGAAGCACTCTGTCATCGTTGTGGCTCACCCCGGACTGTTTCGCCTCACTCGCACTACTCCTGTGGAGAAATGACGCCGGTGATTGTATAAATGTGTGTGCGCCAATGTGCGTGTAAGTGTTGGTAGCAGTTACAAGCGTCGATCCAACTATTCACAACTATACACAATGACAGAAGTGTTGTGCGCTTACATGTGGATGTGTGGGGTCCACTTGCGCGCGTGTTAAGGACGTTTGAGGTTATGTCGCCAACGTAGCTGAAATATGCCTACCAACTGCTCTTGTTAGCTTCGCTTCGATTCAATAATGAGAGCATGCACTCATACAAATGAGCGACGTGGAAACCACACTTGACGTCTATGTAGATTTCCTACACTCATTACTGTCATTACTTATGAATATTAGGGTGGTGCACAAATTAGCATATGAAAAACTTTTTTAGCAAAAAATCCTTGGCAATATTGATTTTGATCGCTCAGTTCGAATGACAGTTGTAAGCTATGGTCATTCGACCTGAAACCTTCTTTCGGAGATTATACCGCTGAGTGAGCAGCTTCTTGAAGCGATATCTCATCTGCTGAGGAATTAGTAAATTTTCATGCGACAACGGAGAGAAGAATTTTATGAATAGTGTATTTTCATAACTAGTTCATTGTATTAAAAAATTTCGAAAATATTGTTTGCCTACATTTAGGCATCACCCTAATGCAGATGAGTTCACCGTCGTGTCAGTTTATGACAAAAGTCAATGGTGTTCCTATTTCTCGCATAATTTCCTTTGTTTGCTTGTACGACTTGTGTCATGGGTCGACGTTGATGTTGGTGACATCACACATAAGTACAATAACAACAACATCTCAATACATATATACAACTTGTATATTCATTCAGCTGCGAAAATCCAAAAATAAATGCGCTCACTCGTATTGCCAGTAAAAATTTCTTTGTTGCTGTTCGTGGTCATTTATGTCGCATTTGCTATAATAGGATCAAATATTTTATGCCAGTATCATAGGCTTTAATGATTTTTCCGTATTCATTATGAGAGATCAATTGTTCTGATTGAATGTTATTTTTCGCTGGAAAAATTCACGAGAATTTATGTTAGCTTTTATTGTCAACACAGAAAATTGTTTGAAGGAGACATTAGAAGTAAAGAATAAGAGATTGATTTGGCAAGTAAGTTGTATTTTCTTTCATATGTAATACAAAATGTTTCTAAATATAATTTTACTCTTTTTTGAACGCTTAAAGTATGAATATAATAGTATGAGAACCAAAATTCTGACTAGCATCAGCGTATTTATTATTAACTAAATACTGGAGCAGACAAATTGAAGTCTATTTGTTTTGCTTCTAAAATTAGTCTAGGTTCTGTGGCAATGGAAAAAATAATAGATGTCATACTCAGATTATTAGGGATATCTTTGTGAAGACAGAAACACACGTATTGTTGGATCTTTCATTCACATACCAGACATTTGCACAAGAGTTTAGTCGATTTCTCTATAGTTCACCTGAATATCACAAAGTGCAAGATCGTAGTTAATTTAGCCTTGACGTTCCAAAGACATGACTGCAAAGAAGTGACAGAAAAAGCATTGAGACAATTTTACCTCTTCATATTCCAATCATTTTTATTTAGTGGTTTTCGAATGTTTTTATTAAAATAGTATATAAAGTTAGGTTAAGACTACTTAGGTAGTATTTTGTGAGGTCATAAAAAAGTAAAACTTCTGGGTTCGAACTTATAAATTAGCAAAACGCTTATTAGCCAAAACACTTTTGCACAGCCGTTTCATTTCCATTCCCGCCCCTACGGTGGGATTTCTGAAATTATGCCAAGTGCTTAAGTCTTGACCTCCTAAAGGCGGGACATTCAAGAAATAAGTATTGAGTTGTTGCCAACTCATCTTCTACAGATATCATTAAGTAGGATTCATATCCTTACTGCGTGGACGCCAACAGGGCAAATAGATCACTAGATCATAGAAAGCGCATGTATCGATGGTGACCCAGCGCCGGCCAAGCTTCCGCAACTATCTAGTAACTAGTAGAAGGCAGGAAGAGACTCATCAGGAACTCTCATTGAAACTTTCGCAGCCATTCACCTACCGGCGATGTCCACGGGAAATATGTGCAAGATTCTTATTCAAAGTATTACACATATGAAACTATACCATTTTTGATACCCTGTTTTGATGTGAAGCGTATTCCAGTGAGGGTGTTCTGCATCGACGGGAGTTAATGGTAGTTAGCAGCGTCAAAGTCTCGACTATAAGTCGCGTGAGGCAAAACTCACCGCCGTTGTATTCGAAATTGTTGTGACTGGTCATATCATGAAGCCGCACGAATATAGTCTAGACTATTATGTAATTTAATTAAAACGCTTGTATTAACATATAAAAATATTCCATTAAGCATGATTAAAATTGATCCAATACGCATCAGCTACTTGAAAAAACGCTGTATATTGCAGTTAATCAAAATCCTTACTCATTTCATAATAGAGCAGAAGTGCTTTCCTAAGTATAATTAAGGAGTTTGCTAGCTGCCATTAACATTCAATAGCTTTCGTTATTTATCAATTATTACTAATCACATTATTAATACTTGGGTAAATTAAGCATATTTATATATGATATTACTTGTTGTAATTGTTGTGTTGGTAGAATTAATCAAATTATTATTAAAATCAAATCCAACCTTAAATCAATGTCACTCATCTGCCCTGGCAGCCTCATAGATAGTAATTACATTAAATTACATTGCTCATACGCACCGCGCATCGCAATCAACACATTTGAGTGTTTTTTTCAAAATTCATAAATCATTCTTTTTTGATCAATCTTATGTTGTGTGGGCTCTTAATGGCATTCGCAGGCGTGTTCAACACCAACCGCCACACCCACTCATTACAGCATGGTCTGTTCTCATAAATTGAAAATTTTATTGAGCACAACAAAGTATGATATTCACTGTGCATTTCACAGTTGATTTCCACTCTTTTCATTTATCCTTTTTTCTATTTTTCCTTTCAAGCAGCACTAATGCGTTTCATATCAGCGTCATGGTCTTAATCGATTACATTCCTTCGGTGCTGCCCTTTCTGAGCAATAATATTTCAACAATCCCAGCGTCAATTTATTGTATTGCTGGCTTTTTCAACAACTCAAATGTCTGCCCCTTTTTCAAGCATTCCAAATAATTCTCGCATTAAAGGGGTTTACTTTCTTCTTAGTGTGCTATTATTATTATTTTTTTTTTTTATCTCAAATAAATCGAATTATTTAAATTCCTTTCGAAATAATTAGAGCTGGCAGGAGAAGAAAAAAAGTGTTTGTTGAGTGAGAGGAGCGCGCATATTTATGTAAATATATACCACGAAATATTTTTTAGACTAATTGAAATATTAATTGATTTTTTATTATTACTTGATTAGTTAGAGTACGAATTTCTCTGTATTTTACTGTGAGCTAATTTTCCTAATACTTTGCGCCGACATTATTGGCAATAAGAGAAATGGTGCTACTTTTGGAATATTCATGAATATATATTTATATTTGCTTTCTTGTTCCTTTTAATTCCAGAACAAAAATCAATACTCACCGATAGCGACTGGAAGAAGCTATGGATGCGAGGCGGTATAAATCCCGATTCAAAATTGGATAACAATCTCGACACAAGTGACAGTCCGATGTTCGAGGATAGTGAGGTTAGTTATTCGGCAGAATACGTAAATTAGAGTTTTAGTAAATTCTTCACTGGAAAAGAGACTATCGCTTTCTATCTTATCCATAAATTCACGTCAAAAGAAAGTAGAAAAAGTACTGCTGAATTCTTTTTCTAAAGAGAAATAGTTGCATAGCCGTAAAAGTAGCAAACAGCACAAAGAGTAAGAAAGGCAGTTCACGTATAGTCATAGGCTAAAGATTAAGGCCAATACACGATTTACTACCTAGGCCAAACCTTTGGCAAAGGTAGCTGTAAAGAAGATAGACTTACCTAAAGAACCCAACCCTTAAAACAATATCGCGGCTTGAAAAAGAATTTCTTTGAAAAAATTCCGCTTCTCAAATGTAAGTTTATCCCTCTACTAATTGTTTCAAGAGCACGTGATAATGAATCACGTTGAAATACACACAGAAAATGTGCCTCAAGTAAACTCAGCGCTAATAACCACTTTATCGCTTCCTCGCTTCACGGAACATTTCACTCTCCTCCACTAAATCTACGGCGACTATGTTCACAAACTGGACAAAGGAGTACAGACTTGACCTTAATATTGCAGTCAGTAGATTCCGACGTCAAAAATCCGAAAATTTTAGCTGTGACTTTTGACAGTCTGTACTCTTTCACTTCTTATACGACCGTGATTATCTCCAACGTACAGAGCCACAACAAAATTCTCAAGTCGCTAGCCGGCAGCATAAGGGAAAGGACAAAACAACATTGTTGACAACTTATAAGCCAATCGACCACCAGGTCAATAACTGCACCGCACAAGTGTGCAGCGAAACGCAGTCGAACAAACTCCAAACTTGTCAGAACACTGCAGTCCGAACTACAATAGGATGCCACTTGATGTCTCGTATCGAACACCTTCATAGTCAGGCCCGTATGCGCTCAGTTAAGAAACCATCTGGGGTGCTTTCGGAAAGTTATCGCTGCAGTTTCCTGCTTTGAGCGGAACCGCCTCCTAGGAGCATCAAGTGGTCTCATCTAATCCTCTTTACCACAAAAAGAACAGCCACATTTCACGTGCTTACCTTAACAATCAAATTACATTATCAAGGGTATCAAGGGTTAACCAGGTCATAACTGCAACATAATAATTACCAAAAATCAATGCCAAAAAATTTGAAATTAAACGAAACACATATTAAGTATTTCTACATAATTTTCAACTTCAAGGGGAAAAGTCACGGTCATTATGACTCACCGTAGTTTTTGTACAATGTATCAAACCGATAAAACTCTATAATATACCACAAACCGAACTCTTCAATTTCTATTTCAAATAATCTCTAGACGAAACGATGAAAAGTGACATGTTTTCCTCAACATTAAATTATTTTAATGCACATATCGCCAAAAAGGAAAACAGCCCCTAGACAAAAGTACTGTTACTCATACTTAGCACCTCTTATTTGAGTGCTCACTAATTGACAAGATATACATGTCCGTCAATTGAAGAATAGATTTACTGAAAATAAACAGACACAAGTGTTGGTCAATAATAATTGTAATTGAAATTTAATCTATATCACAAAATATGTTGAAATTAAATATTTCGCATTTCCTTTTTACTAATCAACAACATTCTCCTATTTTCCCACTTTCCCTCACCTATCCATCCCTCTGCATTGCTTTCGTTTCAGCAGATGGCGCACAACACGACCGTCCAGTTGGGTGGCACCGCATTTCTGGTTTGCAAAGTGTCCGGCGTGGATAGAGTGGGTGTAAATTGGGTTTGTTTAAGAAAAAAATGTTTAATGTTTATTCCCTTTTTTATTTCAGTGTAAATACAATAATTAATTAACAATATTTATTTTCAATAATAAAAAAACTTTTTATGCGTGTGTTCACTTTTTTACTTTTTTTCAATATTTATTTATTTTTTTACTTTTTTGTGGCTGGCTTGTATTTGTATTTTTGTTTGCGTGTTATAAATTTGCAACGCAATTATTAGAAATCAACACGCCGGCATGACCTTCGACTTATTCGCAATTAACGCCGTTAGATGTAATATTCGCAAGCTAATTAATTTAATTTACATTTAATTTGTTGTCATTACTCATGAAAAAACTGCTGCTTATTTTTTCAATTAATAATGCTAAAATATTAATAATTTTAATTCTATAAAAATGCACGAGGGGCTCTGTTTTTAGCTTAAGCAAAATTAATGAAATTTCAGTATGTGAAAGATATATTAAATTTATTCGTTCTCTGAGTGTTCCACTTAAAAGTTAGAAAATAACGTAACAACAACTTTAAAGAGAAATTTTTTACTTATGGGCAGTCTTAGTAATCTAAAATATAGTATAATATTTGTCTCTCAGCTTATTGAACACTTCCTGATACAGGTTGGAAATAAGTCAAGTGTGGCTACGACCCTTTCATTTTTTTTTTTTTTTAATTTATATTGGCATTAGCTGATTTATTATTAAAGTGTATATAATTACTAAAGTATCATCTTGTAAAATCCATGAAAGCTTCTTCTAAAAATTCCAGCCATTTTCGATGAATGTTCTCACGCAAACGCCTCAAATAGAACTCTTCATTGACAGTATGTCTCTACGAAACAATTTCATGATGCATTAAACCACGAATACCAAAGAGATCAGTGAGCATCAAATTGATTTTCGATCGAATTTTATTTTTTTTTTTTCATCATCTCGTTAGAATGCTTGTATACGGTGTCAAAATATCCACCAAACTCATACGAATGAACTCGCAAGAGATGTCGAGCACCATTCACTTTTTAATAATTTTTCTCAGATTAAGATGATTCCGATCACTAAATTTAGTTAGAAATAAAAATTTGAGCAAAATTCGCAACACACTTCTAAGGTGTATCGACTGCTATAAACAAACTGGTTGACAGATCACGCTCAGACTTTTTATTTTTATTTTTTAATTTATCCGTTGAATTTAATTACAATTTCTGTGTGCTTTTTGTTCACAATATAAACCGAATATGAGCATACGAGTATATGCGGTATGAGCTGCTAGCTAGAGAGGTTTAGTGGGAAGTCTTTATGAGTAGCATATTTCCATGGAACAGAATTGTGAATAAGATCGAGTTCACAATTTTTTGTTGATACCTCACTTTCTGCTTACTGATTTATGGTTGATTTTGTCATATTCGTTTCTAGTTTGTAGTATCAGTTTCCCTAATATTTGGGTACATCTCAACAATATATTAAATCATTATTACTGATTTCAAGACTCAAATCTGGTGCGACATCTTTTCTTACTTAAGTTGTGTTAGGTGGCTGATCCCCAGCAATGCGTGAGATCAGACTCAGACTATTTTGTATAGTTCTTTGGGAAGCCAGACAAAATACTACAGTAGTTCGATATTGGCTATCGGAAAAATGAAAACTGGCAAGAATCCAGATCGGAAGTGTTCGAATAGACCTCCTACAAGGTTGAAAAGTATTAAAGCGAAGAGTTCATTAAACCTCGTACGATTTGACTTTGGCCAGAAAGATCTTGAGACTGCGCAGCTGCTGATAGTTGACCAATGCTTGCTGAGCTGGATTGAGCCTCGAAAATCGAGTAGTGAACCACAAGGATCCAACAGAGCTCCCACCCATTCCCATTTCACAGTTACTGAGACTGAGGTAACTGTCCCAGCAAGCCCATCGGCCCTATATTTTCCTAAATTATCGCCGTATCCAGGCAACCAAACCAGCCTATTCATATAATAACTTGATGCTACAGATAAGTAGCCTAGACATATGTTTACAGCCAGTGAGCAAACGCAAGGCTAATAGCGCTGCTCTACTATCGGAGTAAATAGTTAAAAGTTCTAAGTCAATTTATGGCAGCCACCTTCGCTTGGAAGCCGCGCCATTGATCACGAGCTCTAAAACCGTAGCTTATGAGTAATTTCCGACATCTAGTTCTACAAAAAAAAAAAAAAAAAAAAAAAAAAAAAAAAAAAAAAAAAAAAAAAAAAAAAAAAAAAAAAAAAAAAAAAAAAAAAAAAAAAAAAAAAAAATCCAGAGAAGACAATAACTATTAAATGATATTTTGCGACTATGTGGTTAATTATAAAAATTTACAATATTCAAAAAGCCACACGATTATACACACAGTGCGTAAGATTCAGTTTTAACTATTCATCAAATTTAATGTTGAAAAGAACACGTTAAAGATATAATACAATCCAAGCGAAGAACTCACTATTTTCTTTCTAGTAGTTTCTTTCTTTTCTTGACACCATTTCATTTCATTCGACTGGAAAACCGAAGTCAGTTTCTCATATATTTGCAATTAACTGACTGTCACACGTACACAAATATACAGAATGCACAGTTTCCTTTCAGCATCAATATATCTGCCCCACTACTTTCTTTGCTGGCACTCACACCCTAGTAAGTGTGTGATTGTGTCTTATAAGTTGCTCATTCAAATAATTTCGCTTTTGCTTGAGCAAATTGATGAGAAGCGCTCTTCCGATAAAGCCAGCAAGCAAGTAAGCGAGCATGGGTGTCAAGCAAGAGAGACTAATTAGCTTCGTGTCGCTTTTTCGCGCTGTTGCTTACAACGTCTTCTTATATACAATTATATATTAAATGTAGTATATAAATGCACGCAGGTTTGTTTGTATGTGTGTATAACTGAACTCTTTGTGCCACGCAGGCAGTTAAAGCAGCAACTATTAGCAAAGACATCGACTTTATAAACTTTAATGCGATGAATTGTTGTTTTTGTTCTGTTGCTTGGAGAAAGGAAATGGAAAGCGCTTAATTATCTGAGCGTCAGCAATCGTCCTAGTGGTTTCGATTATAGACACTCTGCTACATATTTGCACATACACAAATATCTAGAATAATATGTATATATATATGACTATATATAATATGTATATAGTTATATAATAATATAATATATATACAAATTTATATATGTTAATGTGTGCATTTCATGTAAGTTTCTAAGGATCATTCTCTATAAATTTTAAATTTTTAGATCTTATTGATTTACTAATGCACTTCAATCATAGTTTTGAAAATTCTTCACCGCAAGATTCTCTTTGGACCTTTTCTTTTATTATATTGTCCACAAAGATTGTCAAAAAAGTCTTGCGGTATTTTCGCTAGTTGGCGCTGAGAGCGCCTAGTTCTAGTTTTATTCGTCGCATCGGGTCATGCTATACTTTTTTGGAAAGCTCATTTCACGCGCTAACACATGTTTGATTGATTGTCGTGAGTTATAGTGTCGCAAACATGGAGCAAAATAAAAAGAAAATACGGCATATTTTACAGTACTACTACGATAAAGGCAAAAATGCATCTGAAGCCGCCAATAAAACTTGTGCAGTTTATGGACCCGATACAGTTTCCATTTCCACCGCACAACGATGGTCTCAACGTTTTCGTTCTGGTGTAGAGGTGGTAGAAAATGCGCCACGCTCCGGAAGGCCTGTCGTCGAAAATTGCGATAAAATCGCTGAAATGGTCGAAAGAGGCCGGCATAGTAGTAGCCGTAGCATCGGTCAAGAGCTGAGCATGAGTCATCAAAAAAAATTTTATGAACAATTGAAAATTCAATAAAAATACCGCAATACTTTTTTGACAACCTAATATATTGCTACTATCAAGTACAATAAGTGAATTTGGAATACCTTCCAAGAACTCCCCTTTGATGTTATGAACCCTTTCCTGAAAATTTATTTAAAAACTTTGCTAAACAGCCTCGAGATAATGACTGTTCCTTTCCAGTTCATATATCTTCTTAGTTTCAATTCAAAGTTTAGAAAAATAAGCATATCCACTATTAACCTCAAAATATTGTCCAAAAGATCTTTTCGAAATTTCCTTAAAGAGCACTAATTTAGCTGACAAAATGAAAGACTTTAAATTATATATACACAAACTACTCGAGAGTATCTGATAGACCATGCGAAATTGCTTGAAATCGCACTTCTCTCGCACACTAAGCGAAAAACTTCCACAAGTATGGCATACAAGTGCAACAACAATCGCAGTGAATGTAATGAACTCATCAGCGAAAGGCAACATTGCACGATGATTCATCATACTCGTAATTAAAAGTACTTTTTGTATCTGCCGTGGAAAAGTGGAAGAAAAGAAAATGCAAACGTATACAAGCATTGTTTAAAGCAAATGAAATGGAAGTACATTATATGTACATGTGTATGTATTTATAAAAAAGATAACGGTATGTATAAATGCATTGTATTTCGTAGTGTGCCTGTAACACGTCTCGAAGTACTTTAAGCTGCTAGTGTTTCACTATAAGTGAAGTAAAGGGAATGAAGAATAATACTCTCATTTGGAATTTGTCTTTAAACAGTTAAGTTTAAACGAGTCAGCCAGATAAGTTGAAACAGAGTTAAGAGTTTAACTGCTTTTGAAATTAAGAATATAAGAATTAAATGGGGGAGGTTAAAGGAACTATTAACTAGGCATATTGAATTATAGTGAAATGTGAAAGAAAACATCGGGAACAACAGGTGTGGTTAGGGATGCAGCTTCGGTCGAACGAATGTAAAAAACTGTTATCGGGATCTCACTTTCAATTACAGCCTCAGACTTCGTGAATGTGACAGTGTTTTCCAAGCCGAGGTTGCAGCCATTAAGGCAGCAGTAGATTAACTGCTCTGGATTGCAGGCTCCTTCAGGGAAGTAATCATCCACACAGCTGGCAGGGTGGCGATTCTAGCCACCTCATCTCATTTACAGTTCGTTCAAGGTTCGTCAAGGTGTGCATAAAC